GATGGCCTATTAGAAGTATCTGGAGAACGAAAAGACAAAACATCCTGAAAATTGGGATGCTTTGATAATTGAACATTCTCTATCCGTCTAAAATATTTTCATCGATACAGTGTTGCCACTTCTATCAGAAACAACTAGCAACTTTGTTATTTCCAATGGAACACCCTGTATTTTATTGCATTTTTAGATTCTTCCTGAAGAGCTGAATCCATCAATGCATCACACTTGGGGTCAAGCAGGGATGATTACAGAGATATAGGGTGTTCAAAAGAGAGATTTTTCAATTTGAGGATTTTTCTGTGTCGAAACTATTCATTATCGATCAAAATAGCTTACATATCCCTATCTTAACTTTCGATTCACTACAGGAATTCAATTGGAAAAAATACAGGGTGCTTCAAGATTCAGAATTCTGATCACCCTGTATCTATTCCAATTAAATGTCAGTAGATAGTGAATCAAAAGTTAAGATAGGGACATGTAAACCGTTTTGATCGATAATGAATAGTTTCGATGCAAAAAATCCTAATAAAGTTGAGAAATCTCGATTTTGAACACCCTTTATCTCTGTAATCATTCCTGCTAGTCCCCAAGTGTGCTACATTGATGAAATCAGCTCTTCAGGAAGAATCTAAAAATGCAATAAAATACAGGGTGCGCTATTCAAAATAACGAAGTTGCTAGTTGTTTCTGATAGAAGTGCCAACACTGTATCAATGAAAATATTTTAGATGGATAGAGTATGTTCAATTATCAAAGCATTCCAATTTTCAGAATGTTCTGTCTTTTTGTTCTCCAGAAACTTCTAATTGGCCATCCACCGTGGATCACCCTGTATATTTACAAAGTGAGGATTCAATAGAATTGATATATCATCAGAACAGAAAACGGAAGTTTTGAATGCGATTATCTAAGAAACCAGGAGATAAAAATAAACGGATTGCAGGTTCTTGTTTAGCACATCCTGTATGCAAGCCGCCTCGAAATATTTGAAAAAGTTTCTCAATTGTTTCTTTTCCAGGCCTAAAAATCAACTTTGTCCTAGGGCCTTTCGAATTTGGTATACCAGGGTCCTTGAGGGATATTTCTCTGCCCTTGCGGTACCTTCGATGTAAAAACTGGCTCGATCTCGGAACTCAATTCATTCACGTATTTTGCATACGAAAATCGATTTTTGGCCATCATTTCAGCGATCTTTGATCAATTCTCGATCACGAATATCTCGAGAACCAAAGTGAGGTTATAAAAAACGGATTTCATATTCTTGTTCAGCACACCGGGAACACCCTGTATGGAAGTTTTCAGTCGATTCTGACGCTTCTGAATATTTGAAAAAAGTTCAAAGGGGTTAGCCTTGTTTCTTTTTCAGACCCGAAAAACAAATTCGTCGCAGGGCCTTCAAATTTGGTATACAGGGTCCTTAAGGGATGCCCTAGTGCGGAGTAGAAGCACAGATCTCTATCTTTGAAAATAAAAAAGAAGCAATTTTGTACCAGTTTTTCTATCCTTGCGGCACCTTCGATATAGACTGGCTCGATCTAGTGCCTCAATTGACTGGAGATCGATGTCATGAGAACGATTGAAATTTTGACGGAACTCAATTCATTTACGTATTTTGCCTACGAAAATTGATTTTTGGCAATAATTTTTCAGCGATCTTCAAGAAAGTTTTTTTCAATTTTCGATCACGAATATCTCGAGAACCAAGTGAGATAATATAAAACGGATTTCAGATTCTTGTTCAGCACACCAGGAACACCCTGTGTGGAAGTTTTCAGTCGATTCTGACGCTTCTAAATATTTGAAAAAAGTTCAAAGGGGTTAGCCTTGTTTCTTTTTCAGACCCGAAAAACAAATTCGTCGCAGGGACTTCAAATTTGGTATACAGGGTCCTTGAGGGATGCCCTAGTGCGGAGTAGAAGCACAGGTCAAAAAGAAGCAATTTTGTACCTGCTTTTCTCTCTTTGCGGCACTTTCGATATAAACTGGCTCGATCTAGTATCTCAATCGATGTCATGAGAAAGATTGAAATTCTGACGGCACTCAATTCATGCATTCACGTATTTAGCCATCGAAAATTGATTTTTGGCCATCATTTCAGCGATCTTCAAGACTTTTTTTTTCAATTTTCGATCACGAATATCTCGAGAACCAAGTGAGGTAATGAAGAACGGATTTCAGATTCTTGTTCAGCACACCGAGAACACCCTGTATGGAAGTTTTCAGTCGATTCTGACGCTTCTAAATATTTGAAAAAAAGTTCAAAGGGGTTAGCCTTGTTTCTTTTTCAGACCCGAAAAACAAATTCGTCGCAGGGCCTTCAAATTTGGTATACAGGGTCCTTAAGGGATGCCCTAGTGCTGAGTAGAAGCACAGGTCTCTATCTTTGAAAATAAAAAAGAAGCAATTTTGTACCAGTTTTTCTATCCTTGCGGCTCCTTCGATATAGACTGGCTCGATCTAGTACCTCAATTGAGAACGATTGAAATTTTGAAAGAATTCAATTCATTCACGTAATTTGCCTCCAAAAATTGATATTTGGCCATCATTTCAGCGATCTTCAAGACTTTTTTTTTCAATTTTCGATCACGAATATCTCGAGAACCAAGTGAGGTAATAAAAAACGGATTTCAGATTCTTGTTCAGCACACCGGGAACATCCTGTTTGGAAGTTTTCAGTCAATTCTGACGCTTCTAAATATTTTAAAAAAGTTCAAAGGGGTTAGCCTTGTTTCTTTTTCAGACCCGAAAAACAAATTCGTCGCAGGGCCTTCAAATTTGGTATACAGGGTCCTTGAGGGATGCCCTAGTGCGGAGTAGAAGCACAGGTCTCTATCTTCAAAAATAAAAAAGAAGCAATTTTGTACCAGTTTTTCTATCCTTGCGGCACCTTCGATATATACTGGCTCGATCTAGTACCTCAATTGACTAGAGATCGATGTCATGAGAACGATTGAAATTTTGACGGAACTCAATTCATTCGCGTATTTTGCCTACGAAAATTGATTTTTGGCCATCATTCCAGCGATCTTCAAGAAAGTTTTTTTCAATTTTCGATCACGAATATCTCGAGAACCAAGTGAGGTAATAAAAAAGGTGTTCCAGATTCTTGTTTAGCATTCCGAGAACACCCTGTATGGAAGTTTTCAGTCGATTCTGACGCTTCTAAATATTTGAAAAAAGTTCAAAGGGGTTAGCCTTGTTTCTTTTTCAGACCCGAAAAACAAATTCGTCGCAGGGCCTTCAAATTTGGTATACAGGGTCCTTGAGGGATGCCCTAGTGCGGAGTAGAAGCAAAGCTCTCTATCTTTGAAAATAAAAAAGAAGCAATTTTGTACCAGTTTTTCTATACTTGCGGCACCTTCGATATAAACTGGCTCGATCTAGTACCTCAATTGACTAGATCGAGATCGATGCCATGAGAACGATTGAAATTTTGAAAGAAATCAATCCATTCACGTATTTTGCCTCCGAAAATTGATTTTTGGCCATCATTTCAGCGATCTTCAAGACTTTTTTTTTCAATTTTCGATCACGAATATCTCGAGAACCAAGTGAGGTAATGAAAAACAGATTCCAGATTCTTGTTCAGCACACTGGGAGCACCCTGTATGGAAGTTTTCAGTCAATTCTGACTCTTCTAAATATTTGAAAAAAGTTCAAAGGGGTTAGCCTTGTTTCTTTTTCAGACCCGAAAAACAAATTCATTGCAGGGCCTTCAAATTTGGTATACAGGGTCCTCAAGGGATGCCCTAGTGCGGAGTAGAAGCACAGGTCTCTATCTTTAAAAATAAAAAAGAAGCAATTTTGTACCAGTTTTTCTATCCTTGCGGCACCTTCGATATAGACTGGCTCGATCTAGTACCTCTATTGACTAGAGATCGATATCATGAGAACGAATGAAAGTTTGAAAGAACTCAATTCATTCACGCATTTTGCCTACGAAAATTGATTTTTGGCAATAATTTTTCAGCGATCTTCAATACACTTTCTTCCAATTTTCGATCACGAATATCTCGAGAACCAAGTGAGGTAATAAAAAACGGATTTCAATTTCTTGTTCAGCACATCGAGCCCATTCTGAGCACATAGGAAAAGGAAATATTCATATACAGGGTGGACCAATAGTGTGACAAAGCGAGATAGCAACTCTGCTATTAGAGATAGAAGAAAAAAATTTTTACAGGAGTTGTAAGTCCAAGAGATGCATATTTCAAAATAATCTTCCATTCTACAGTGTGTCTCAAAAAAGTATGACATATCAAACTCATGTTTCTTCAAATGGAACACTCTGAATTCAACGATCAAGCACACTTGGGGTCTGGCAGGAATGATTACCGAGATATAGGGTGTGGAAATTCGAGATTTTTCAACTTTGGGAATTTTTTGTGACCAAACTATTCATTATTGGTCAAAACGACTTCCAGATCCCTATCTCAACTTTTGATTCACTATTTACTGACATTTAATTGGAACAAATACAGGGTGGTGTAGAATTCTGAATTCTGCACCACCTTGTATCTTTTCCAATTAAATATGAGTAGATAGTGAATCAAAAGTTAAGATAGGGACATGAAAGCCCTTTTGACCAATGATGAATAGTTTCGACCCAAAAAATTTTCAAAGTTGAAAAATCTCTATTTTCCACACCCTATATCTCGGTCATCACTCTCGTTAGACCCCCAAGTGTGCTAGATCGTTGGGTCCAGCTCTTCAGAGAGAATATAAAAATGCAATGAAATACAGGGTGTTTTATTCAAAATAACATGATTGATATGTCACAATTTTTTGAGACACACTGTATAATGAAGGATTGAAATATGCATCTGTTGGACCTACAACTCCTGTAAAAATTTTGTTCTTCCATCTCTGATAGCAGAGCAGCAATCTCGCTTTGTCACACTATTGGTCCACCCTGTATATTGTAGAATCTCTTCTTGTACCAAATTCAATACTTTTTGTGGAACTGCGAATTGAACAAAGAAAAAAACTCATGAATTGCTAGAAATAGAAATTTATTGAGGATTATCATCTCAAGATTACAATTATCACAAAATTCACTTTTCAAACAAACTCACAATTGAAATATCAAAATTAAACATAAGAAAATCACTATACTGATCAACAGCATTAAATATGTAAACCTAATAAGAATTATCAATCGATACAAATCACATCATCATCAGACAGATCACTTTTTTGAGATGTCACAAGTTTCTTAGACTGAACTGAATTTACTTTCACTTTTTCTTTTTTCCTATCTTTAAAAACACTCGCGATTAGCTTAGCTTTCTCCCTAGAACCTACATCAGGATCACCAGACTTCGACTTTTTTTGTACAGTAGTAATTATTTTCGAAGACTTTTCCGTTCGTTTTTCCTCGGAAGTATTCGGGGAAACTTTCTCCTTCGGGACTTTCGAAATGTTTACTTCTGGGCCGAGCCCAACATCGAGAAGAATCTCGTTGGTGTCTTTTTTGGGGGCTGTGACTGACTTCTCTTTAGTTTTAGTTTTACGAACCTGAAATTGGAAATAAAATCACTATAATGGACCATTGAGGGGTTGAGGGTATATTGAATACGCTATTACCATGCTTTCAACAATCTACCAGAACTAAAAATGAATACATACTGGGTGACACTGATTCATAGTATACCCCACTTTTCTCCTTTGGTTTTCTAGCTATATTTCTGAAATTTTGAACATCCAATATGCTCATTAGAGGGCACTTTCTCACATTTCAGGATTTCTTTTCATCTTTCGGTTTCCCTTTCGATTTTATAATGGATCACCCAGTATTTTATTCCACAATCGGTTAAAAATTATTATTAGAGGCACTGAATATTATTAGAGTCACTGGATGGTATTAGTATATAAGAGTTCGGACACAGCTGAACTTCTATCCTTTTCTATTTTCTAAATTTCAATGCTTGAGTGAATAAAAGAGTAAGACATATACAGGGTGTAACTAAATAAGTGTAAGACATTTGAGGAGGTGATTCCTCATCGAAAAAAGATGGGATCTTTCATATAAGGAATCTTCATTGGAGCATCCCATGAAGGGGGTACATAAAATTTGTTCAACAATTTTTTTCACAAGCACTAGAAAAGTTACAGTATTGAAATTAACCTGGCATTTTCTAGTACCAAAAAGACACTTAGTCAGTAATTTATTTGGTTTACCCCATGGTTGTATGGGGTGGAAAATTTCATTTCCAATGTACCTTCTTGTCTTATTGTTTGTTTACCATTTGAAAATTCATTTCCGATAATTTGTTTCATTCTAAACAAAAAATGTCCCTTGATTTTTTTGCCCAAAATAAACCAGTTGGCAGCAAAATAATATTTTTTCTAATTTTGACATGTAATGTGACACTTTTCAAAACTGACGAAAGTTTTGAAACGTCTTACTTTACGTAACCAGTTGCGTAAAGTAAAATTTTACATAACTGGTGATGTAATGTTCATTTCATTCATTCATTTCACACAACAAGAGTCGGCAGAACTCATGTAAAACTGGTCATTATTTTTGATCATGCGAAATGTTTCGTCAAAATTAGAAAAAATAGTGTACGTGACACGTTAGGAAACGCCATTTTGTGTAACTCTGTGATGTTGCGGGATCTCGCTTCGCTCGTCCCGCAAAATCCCATCGTTACACAAAACAACGCGTTTCCTAACTGATTACATAAATATCTATTACGATCAACTACAGAGATACATCGTCATAAATGCGAACTGGATTTATTGTCATTTTGTAGTTACTACCTGCGTTAAATGATTGAAGGGATTAAACCATGGGGTAAACCAAATGAATTACTGGCTAAGTGTCTTTTTGGTAGTAGAAAATGTCAGGTCAATTTCAATACTGTAACTTTTTTAGTGCTTGTGAAAAAAATTGTTAAATACATTTTATGTACCCCCTTCAAGGGGCTGTATCTTATCATGGGATGTTCCAATGAAGTTTCTTCACCCCCTCAAATGTTTTACACTTATTCAGTTACACCCTGTATATTCTGCTCTTTAGTCTTTTCAATTTCCCTAGTAGCGCCTGATGGTCAGATACGATTTTAGAGGTTACATTTTCTGTCAAATCAATCATAGCCGTAGCTGGAAAATGGGTTGCGAAACATTGAAACACAACCTCACTTTTCTTATTTGTTTACGAGTGATTGGAATAGTTCTTCACAATTATTTTGGCATACGAATCGTGTTTTTCGGCTCTTCATTAATTCGCGCATGCCATATCACATTGTGCTGTTGTACAATGCACAAAAAATGCAGCGGGAGACGAAGGAATCCGGTTGGTACATTATGATTTTACTATAGTCACTCACATATAGTTTTCATTTTTGAAATCAGATAATTTCTCTCATTTCTCAACAGAATTCCTTCTGCAATAGGAGCTAATAGAAATACTCGTGAAATTCCTAGAATAATGCAAGGAATAATGCAAGAAGATTGGATTCGTGCAATAAAACGGGAGGACTGGTCTGACCTGCAGAAGAAATATGATCGTGTGTGTTGTAGACATTTTCAATCTAATAGCAGTATAAGCTTCTATTGCAGAAGTGGCAGAAGGAATTTTAATAAAGATGACAAAATTTTTTGGGCATTGTACAACAGCACAATGAGAAGGCATGCTCGTATTAATGAATAGCGCAAAAAACACGATTCGTATGCCAAAATAGTGTGAAAAACTATTTCAATCCTTTGATTCCTCTGCAAACAAATGAAAAAAGTGAGGTTGTGTTTCAATATTTTACCTTCAGGGTCGGTCATCGTGCACGCGATCTATCTGATAATCAGGCGCCACTAGGGAAATTGGAAAGACAAAGAGCAGCGTATATGTCTTATTCTTTTATTCACTCAAACTATTGTAATATAGAAAATAGAAAAGGACAGAAGTTGCTGTGTCCGAACTCTCTTCTAACTAATCATCCAATAAGTTTCTCTAATTATTAAAACGAATTCAACAATACGAGTTTGACTGGGATATTTCAAATGATTACGAAGATATTCACGTTCGAAGTTTCCATAAGCTCAATGGGTGTGACGGCGCAATATCGAATCTTCTTTCTCTGTCACACTCATTGAGCTTATGGAAACTTCGAATGCGAATATCTTTGTAATCGTTTGAAATAACCCAATCAAACCTATTGTTGAATTTGTTATAATAATCTTTAACCGATTATGGAATAAAATACAGGGTGTTCATTTGAAAATCGAAAGTTGATATCATATCCAGGAAAAACCGGAAGAAATATAGCTAGAAAAACAAGGGAGAAAGGAGGGCTACACCATGAGTCAGTGTCAACCGCTATATTTATTTTATCTCTCTATCTTTGTCTAGCGCGAATATTATGTGGATGCGAAATTTGGGACTGCCTGTTGGTTGGATTAAAGGTTTCAATGCTTAACATTGTTCAGGTAGAGTCCCAAATTTGATGTTCGAAAAGCACAAAGAAGAGAAACCAAATATTCTGCTTTTTCCACCATATTATTTTGAACACAAAATATTGTTTTGAAAAGTTTCGAAAAGATTATTATTCTGTATCATAAACATACGCTATCATCTAATGTGTACCATAGGCTACTATCTTTATGACGATTCTAGGATTCAAACAGAGAAAGGTATGAGATTTCACCTACATTGTCTTCGAATGCTAATGAGAAGCAGATATTCCCATAGATCACGTGATATAGAATAATGGAATTAACCTAACCTTCAGAACAACCCGCTCGTCTTTCTGCCATTGTCATCATGAATATTTGCTGTTGGTTAATACACATTTTTTTTCATGTTCTGGTTCCCACGAAAAGAGAACAACGTGAGAACAAGGGAAATAAGGTAGGAATTGGTGTTCTTCTTAAATTAAATGAGATGAAATCGAGAAGAAGCACCTTCTAGCCTTTTTTATATCGAGGTTAGAAACGGTTTCTTCTCCATTTCTTCCGATTTTTTTGTTTCACCAACATGAAATGTTCATTATTCCACGTTGGAACCCCGAAGACAAAGACAGAAGAAGAAGATATATTGTTCCTTTCAAAACTATCAGAACTTTTCTACACTACAACTCCTATATCATCAGAGCTCGGCATAACAGGACACTCTGAATATATAGGGTTTTTCATCAGAGGAAAAACCTCACATCCTTTTATCACCTAACCTATAAGGGCAAAACATTTTTCAGTTGAAATCCTGAAACTCCATTTTATATATAATTTTCTCAAGTTTTCTCCATATGAAACTCAAAGGGGATTAAATAGTATATTATTCAACAAGCATATAATAGGGCATTATATGCGAGTAGAATACTATACTTTATCTACGATAGTTGTATAAAATATTCATAATACAATCGAGATGTGTCCCGGCGTGTTCGCCAAAACTTGGAATCAAACAATCTTAATAATATTCAGATTCCGCGCCCTGGAGTCGATAATCCATCTCATAGGGCTGCTGTCCCTGTATGAAACCAGCTAAGGATTCTACAATAACTAATCATTAGTTCAAGTAATACCTGTAAATAATGGTCTAACTAAAAATATCCTACAGAAAAAAATAAAGCTGCTACATACATTTGATTTTCTGAATGATCGACATCAATGCAATACTAAAATACTCATAATAATAATAATGGTACATACAGGCTGATTCACGGTGGATGGCACGTTAGACGTTTCTGGAAAACGCAACTCAGGATTACTCTGAAAAGTTGGCATCTTGGATAAAAACTTGTGTTCTATCGACATATAAAATTATCAGCGTTGCGACCTTGCCGCTTATATTGAAAAGTAGCAACAACTTTGATTTTTATATGGGACACCCTGTATATTATTCCATTCTTAGATTCTTCCTGGAGAGCTGATTTCATTGACGAATAATACTTGGGGTCTAGCAGTAATAATTACAGAGTTATAGGATGTGAAAAATCGAGATTTTTCAACTTTAGGAATTGTTTGTGTTGAAACTATTCATAATTGGTCGAAACGGTTTTCATGTCCCTATCTCAACTTTTCATGTACTATCAATTGATATATAAGTGAAATAGATACAGGGTGGTCAAAAATCTCAATTCTGAACCACCCTGTATTTATTTCAATTAAATATCAATTGATAGTACATGAAAAGTTGAGATCGGCAGGGACTTGTGAACCGTTTTGATCAATTATGAATAGTTTCAACACAAAAAATTCTTGAAGTTGAAACATTTCGATTTTTCACATCCTATATACGTTTGTAATCATTCCCGCAAAAACCCCAAGTGTGATAGATCGATGAAATCAGCTCTTCAGGGAGAATCTGAAGACGGAATGATATACAGGGTGTCCCATTGAAAAATCAAAGTTGTTGCTACTTTTCAATGTAAGCGGCAACGTCGCAACGCTGAGAATATTTCAGGTCGATAGAACACAACTATATCCAGGGCACCAAATTTTCAGAATAATCCCGAGATGCGTTCTCCAGAAACGTCTAATGTGCCATCCACCGTGAATCAGCCTGTATAGTTTCTACA